CTATATGAACATAAATTGGAATGTATTTGCTGCCAGTTCATGGCAGAATAAAGGCAAATATAAAGAGAATACAAATCATTTATCACAATTGTGTTTTGAGTTACTGCAAAGCAGCAAATTGCCATCAGGCTACTATATACGGTTGACGTGAATCTCCTGCTGCTTTCAACTGCCAAGAATCCATGCATCCATTAAGCAGGTCATTTAATACCTCCCAGTGCAGGGGCAGGCTTGGTGAGGCCTCAGTGCAAACCTTGGGGAATTGCATTTGGTTCAGGACATCCTGGCCCATACTGACAGTGATGAAACTACAAATGGAAGATGAGAAAAATAAATGACAGACAGTTAGGGAAATGGAAATGGAAAATATCACACTGGTGCAGTAACAGGGGCTCTTCTGAGGTTTAGGAGGAATTACATTTTTGGAAGAATGCAGTGGAGTCCTGCTTTACATCTGCATTGTATTTTGTCTGGGTGATGAATGGCTTCAAATGCTTGATGATGCCACTGGGTGAAAAGGAAGAAAATATTCCATTGCGAAGAACTGATCATTCTGTCACATGCACACAAAAGGAAGGATCAAATATTGTCATCTGTATGAGAAATGCACTCATTTTCTGTGAATAATAATCCGATTCATCTATAATTTTGACTATGTTTCTCCTTACCATCCTCCCCCACACTTTGAATAATTTCCTTTCCCCTTCTTTTGGAGCTCCCAAGCCATACACTCCCTAACTTTGAGTGTGGGTTGGAAACCTACACCAATAATGTTCTGTATCCAGTTTAGAGGCACATCAATATATTCTTGCTCAACTCTTTGTCCCTGAAGGGAAACTTCCCTTTTCAGGACACTCTTCATTGTCATTAAGAAAATGCCTGTGAGGAATAGTGGCCATTAATCCACATTGTCTCCTGCCTCAGTTGGTAGCGCTCACCTCTGAGTCATGATGTTTGTGGGCTCAAACTCCACATGAGGTCTTTGAATTCACAGTCTACACTGGACAAGTGCTCCATTGGTGGAGTTGATGTCCTTCACATGAAATTTTAAACTGAGGTCTCAGCTGTACCTGTTCAGATGGATGTTAATGATCCCTTGGTACTATTTGAAAAGAGAAGGGAATTTCTCCCCATGTCCTGGTCCAAAATCCCCTATATAAAATAGGTCATTCATATCATAACTGTTTATGGGACATTGGTGTCATGGTTCATTTTGATGAAATTGGTCATTCACTTTATGGCTATTTGTGGTACATTAAAGTGTGTAAATTGGCTGCTGTGTTTGCCCGCAAAATACACAGTCACTACCCTTGATAGTAAATCCTGTGCAGCACTTTGAAGCCTCCTTCTGGTGTAAAAAGGCCTGAATCAAATTGAAGAATGATTAATATATTATTATTCATGTTGAAAATACTTTACAGTATTTACTGTTAAGTGTGATTACTACTATTTAGTACGAATGTTGCACCCAGTAAGTCCCTCAAACAACCATGAGATGAATGATCGATTTTACCTGAAGGATTGTTGGCCAAGAAACCCAGAGAAGTTCCCTCCTACTTTCAAATAATGCCATGAAGGACTAGAAGGTTTATAGCAGAGTGTTCTAAAGAGCTTTTCCCAAGTGAACCCTCAAGGAAATAACACTGCCCCTTTAAATGAAAATGGAGTGAAACCCCTTTTGCGTTCAGGTAACCTACTCTGTTTGAACATCACACTTTAACTCCTATCAGTACTTTGTTCTGATTTAATGTCAGCTAACTCTGCCATTTTCAGAATGCTTAAAGTATTAGGAAATAACCAGCACTTAAAGCACAATTTCCTTGACTCACCACACTTATTAACTCCATGTGCACTTTGCAAATAAAGCAATCTTGAAACCGGAGGCCTCTATCCAACCACCACCCTGGCCCCTCATCTCAAGCTGCCCAGATGCTGCCTGTTCCTGCCAGCAGTGACCTGTAGCACTTAGAGTTTAACAGAGGCTAGGAGGTAAAAGAACAACTGTTATATGTATCCCTCATGTCCCACAAGAGACAGTGAGCCAAAACTTAACTAGCAATTGACTGTACAAGCTGCCTCCAGGAAGTAAATCCGTAATCTCCAACACCCGCATATCATACCCTGGTACCCAGAATGCCAACATCAATACCGATCAATAGCTTTTAAAAGTAAAAGATTGAGTATGGAAGCACATTCGGTATGTTTTTCTTTCTGACAGTCTTTTATTAATGCTTCCATTTGGACCAGTGCTTCTAAAATATAGTACATGAATCAAGAAGCAACACACCCCCCCCACACACACCACCACAAACACCACAGGCACAAAATTCCTCCAAGTATTAGCCTGTAAGACTATTTTGTATTAGAATTTAACATCATGCAGAATTGTAGAAAAATTATAAATTCAGTCAAAATTTAGGAACGGACTTTCTGCAGTTCTTAAAAATATCCAGTTTCTAAGTTAATATTAAATTTAAGATGTTTTCTTAATTCTGTGGGAACTTAAATATTAAGACACAACAGTCTTATGGGCTAAGACTAGGTGAAATGTCAGCCTCTAAATTTTAACATATCAGTTTTCCATTGTCGGTGCTGACTGCATGGTTAGCAGATTTGGCAACATATTGTAATGTATTTTATGACACTAATTCATTATCACGGAGAACTATGAAGAATTGCAATTGATGTTTACATGAAAATGTTTTCAAATGAGTTGTGTGAGTTCCCAGTTTTAACTCTTAATGTACACAGGGTGTGAAAAATGTGTTTCGTAACAGATTCCTTCTTCTGAGGCCTGCAAATAAAAGGAAGCAAATATATTGGGGTGAAACATCCCAATATTGGTACATTATGTAGATTTGTGGTAGATTTAATTTCTTGTCTCCAAACTAGCCTTGCTTCTGAATTTCTAAACAATGGGCAGTGAAAAGACCTTAATTTGCTTGACCATTCAAGAGCTGATATTAATTGAAATATTAAAATTGGAAGCTAATGTTGATTTTCTAAAAAAAAGGTCTTAGCTATCATATTTAATCAAAAAATAATATTTTTCTTCTAAAAGGAAACATGTACAGCTTTGTGCCATTTCCTTGGGTGTACACTACCGTTCTCAAGGGTTTTCCACAAGCTTTGTAGATAAATATAACACATATTATTCTAATAGTGAATGCCATTCTGAGCTCAGTCAGAAGCCACTCTTCATACATTTTCAGGACTGTGAGGGCTATGGTTAGTCTGTGCTGAGTTAGCTGTTCTAGGCCTGAGTGATGATCTGGTTCCACAATTAGGTCTAGTGTTCCTTAGCGAGAGAAAGTCAGCTGGGATTCCCTCTTCTGAGGCCTGAAATTCCATCTAGTCTTGGCTTGTAAGACCATTTTGTGTTAAAATTTAAGATCATGCAGAATTTGGGAAAATTCTTAAATAGAGGCTTGAAGGGATAAGGCAGGGCAGTGGGATTGAATGAACACCTTGCTCTGAGGTGCGATACAGGCTCGATGGGCCAGATGCCCTCTTTCTGTGCTGTAAATTTCTATGATTTATCCTAAGTGTGTAAGGCATTCAATTTTAAGAAGTTAGGGGAGATAGCTTTCAGATTAAAGCTGAATTTAAGTCTTTTCCATAATGGTGTATGATTTTATATATTTAAGACAAACACATGTCCTCATTTACTGTATTATATGTTAATGAGTATGAATATATTTGAAGGAGCACCTTGGGGCACTAGGTTCTAACTTTTGACAGTGAGCGATCCCATCAATGATCTCTTCAGTACTTGTTTATATGAAAATGAGATATTTATTATCACAAAAAAGCACCGTGTTGGCCAGCAGCATGCGATGGCCTCACAGTGCAGGTGCAGCACATTAGTGCTGGCCGAACACAGCCTTCCACACAAAGAAATAGCCAATATTAACCAACTGAGCAGACGCCAGCTATCTCTCTACAGGGAGCGAGTGAAGCTAAAGTCATGTTACTTTCGGTACGATGAGTGTATGTATGATATATGCAAGAAGTGTCTCCCTGGCCCATCGTCTTCTTTCGTGAGACGTACACCCTGTAGGGTTCAAGAATTGGGAATCCATTTCAAATCCAGTTAGAAATAGGAAATACCACATTTTAACTCCATACATGTATAAAAATTGAAACTGCTTTGGATAATTTAAGTGTGAAAATGTTGAATGAATTGATGTTGAAATATTTCTATCCAAGTAACAGGTTTAGTCCATGTTCTTTTAAACTGCACCTTATCCCAATATATTTAATAAAGAAGTCACAGGCATCAAATGTGCAATGTGCACTGGCATACCCTCAATGTATTATGGATCAATGACTTATGGCATACAGGTTAAAACTTGAACTTATAACATCAAAAATGTTTTCCAAAACAAGCGGACATAAATATAACATTGCCATTAGCATGTCTAAAAGGGAATATAGGAGGAACCTCTTCACACAGAGGGCATTGAAAATGTGAAGATCACTCCTATACTCTGTGGTTGAAGCAAAAAGCATCAATGTATTTAAGAGGAAACTTGATGGATACATCAGGGAGAAAGAAACAGAGGTGAATAGGAGAAGAAAATAGGAGGAGTGGAGGCTTCTGTGGAGTATAAACACCAGCATGGAATAGATGGGCCTGGTGGCCTGTTTCTGTGCCATATTATTCTGCATAATTTGTAAAAATCTGTTGGTAGAGACCAGTAGTGGCCAACGTGTGGCTTGTGGGCCGCAAGTGGTGAGTAGTATATTTCTTCTTGATTGAATATTTCTTGTTTTATGGTATAAATCATGAAATATTCAACCAAAAAACATAGTTTGTTGGCTGACCGTAAAGGTTGGCCAGCAAAGGTATAAAAGAAACAGGAAAATAAATCAAACTTAAATCCTCTTTACTGTTCAGTCACGTATATTCAGAGTTAAAATATTTTTGGTGTGCAGGACTACGGCAGTAACAAGTACAGATGGCACAAAGCCAACTTTTGCAAATAAACAAATGACAAAGAAATGCGGAATGCTTCACAAATGTGCGTATCATCCTTGCACAGAGGCCATGCTAATCTCTGTATCGGTCCAATTTTAATGGATGTGCTGCCAAAGAGAGCACTAAATTACATTTTTATGCTTTGTGCAGAAGAAAATAATAGAAAATAAAATAGCACATCTTTGAGTCAAAACTGCAGTGATTTCAACTGAATTCCCTACCCAATCAACTGGTGAGAATCCTGCTTCCAAAGTAGATTGGGACAGGACAGTTTTCACTGGCCAGCTGTGACATACAGAGGGAATCCACATTTGGCGAATTCTGATTTCTTATTTAGATTTTCCACTTGGAAATATAATAATAAAAATAATAATCCTTGCAGTTTAGTACAGCAAATTGCATTATATAGCACCTTTCATGTTGAGAGAATGTCCCAAAGCACTGGACAGTCGAGGGAATAAATACCCCTAAAAAATTATTTAAATAATTTTTTTTTTTTGTCTTTTGCACATTTTTTTCGCTGCACAAATATTAGAAGAATTATTTCCCTTTGTTTGGGGCGTGGGGGGTGCTGGGGTGTTGGTATAAAGAGTAAGGAGTGCAATAAAAACAAAGTTGAAGTGCAGGAAACTTTTTTTTAGTAAAAAGCCAAATAGACACATGGAATAAACTTCCAATATTGGTGGTGAAGCAAAGAGCAGTAAAGGTTTTCAAAAAAAGGACTAGATGGCTTGCCAGAAATGAAAAGGATTCAGAGCTATTGGATAGTGAAATTAATGCTCTCCGGGACACTGCCTTGCGTGAGGGGCTGCAAATGCAAGTTTTTGTTGTTGAATGATGATGTGCCAAATTAATCTTTTGGAAGGTTGGATAATTAGGTTGATAGTCTACTTCTGAAAATATATAGTCAATTCACTTTATAGTATATTCTGTGAAGTGCTTTGAGGCATCTAGAAGACATGAAAAACGCTATATCAAATGAAAGGATTATTATTATTACTGTATGCCTGTAACCACCAGCAGGTATCTACAGTTTCCCTACCTGCAGGCAATCCATTTATCATCTGACGTAAGCAGGCACCATTTCCTTTAGCTCAGCCCTTGGACCATTGAACTGCTTGTGAGCAGACACAAACAAACTTGACCCAATGCTTGTGAAAACCTAATTTTCTGGTGTCTGCTTACTTGAATTCCTGCCTAATTGTGTCATGGCCTCAGATGAAAGAGATAATAAGGTGGTGAGAGGTGCAAAAAGAGAAGGGACTGAGAAGAATGGACAGCCACCCATGCTTCATGCCCAGAGTCCTGAATTTTATTTGAATAATAAATATATTTTAGAGACTTGTCTTGTTGAGAGTCTAAAAACTGCAGCTGCTCTGTGTGTGTTGGGGGGTGGGTGGGAGGGAAACGCAGTCAGTCTCTGGCATGCAACATTTGGAGGTCTCTTCAACACCAGAGGGTCACCGTGTAGGGCTTCACTGACAGCAGCCACACAGTGTGAGAAACAGCCAACACAGAGAGCCCTGACAGATGTTATGAAGGGGGTCAGTGTTAAGTGCCTTTTCAGGATATTAAACCACCGTCATAACAAGTGAAAAAGTGAATTGTCACTGACATCATTGCTGGCCTCCGTGAAGCAGCTCCCCTCCCCCACCCCCTCTTCCCCACCATCCACCTTCAGCAGTCTGGGAACCATTACAGGCCAGAGATCAATATTCTTAGCTGCAGTGGAATTTGAATAACGATTTCCAATAAAATGCATTTCAGGACTGTTCTGGCTAGAGGACAGAGACGAGCCACAAACATAATACAGTTAGGGCTTTTATTCAGAGACTGAAATAATGGAAGAAAAGATTTTAATGATAAGGTACTGAACAGGCATTCTAGGCAACCAATCTGCTTTGTTAATGGCTGTAAGCTGACACCCCTAATGAAATAAAAATGTCTCCATGGGAGCACGTAACTGCACAATTGTTACTAACACTAGAATCCTGTTTGTAATCTCGATGATGGGTGCTAGGCAATATGTTGATGTTTCGCAGGCTATTTTTTTCCATTAAAAATAAAACAATTACGTTCACAATAAAATTGAGTACCTTTCCTGTTTCTACTGAGAAAGAAATTATGGATGATATTTTGTCTAAAAGGCCATCTCTGTGGGTGAAATGTTTGTCTAATAGTAGGGCACATAGCCAGGGCTTGTGAAGTACACACCGCTCACTGAATAATCTATCCATTGTACTTATTCTCAGTCATTTTAGCACAATTCCAAGTCCAGTTCTCTCAGTTACTATTTGAAATGTAAATGCCTTGGTTTGGGATTTTAATACCGAAAAACTTGGCAATCGTTTTTAAAAGTCTTTTTTTGTCATTGTTTGAAGGATTGTGCTTGACCTGTATTGCAGACTGCAGACAGAGGAAGGCCCTGTCCAAGTGCATTGGGAGCGAACAACTGCAGTTATATGGTTTCCCCTGTATCCCCCTCACAGCTTGCAGTTGTCTGATTCCAATTTGGTCCACATGTCTAGCCATCAATCTTCCCCTGAATTTGGGTAAGTGCCTAGCAGCGTGATGCATGCTACAGTCATTACAATATTTTCTTTTTTAGACACTCGAACTATAAGCAATAATTGCATGCATTCTCCTGCACCCCCCACCCCATTCCTATGAAAGGAAACATTCTATGCTGATCCTAGTTTTGCTGATAGTAAGGATCAACATATTGTTTTGGGCTGCAACTGAAATTTCCTGTTCTCACAACTAGGGTTGGCTCATTTGCAGTGCAATTGATTGTTCCTGCCATCCTTTACCCCATCCCCCCAACAACTCATCATTTTGAGGCCCCAAATTCCATCAATATTTAATCTTTTAGTCCATTTTGTAGCGTAGTGGTTAGAGCACTCACCAAGCAAATGAGAGGACCTGGATTGGTAAGATGTGGGTACAGAGTATGGTCCAGGTCAATATGTGGGCGGCAGAGTTTTGGATGAGCTGGATCTTTTGAATGGCGGAGCTGGGGAGATCGTCGAGGAGTGCGTTTGAATAAAACAAGCGCATGCACGAGTGTTTCGGCTGCATTTGGGGTAAGGTACAGTCGGAGGCAGGCAATGTAGCGGAGGTGGAAGAAGGCGGTCCTGGTCAGGAACCGAATGTGGGAGAGGAAGGAAGCTGGGGGTTGAACTGGATGCCTAGATTGCACACTGATTCGGTGAGTGTGAGGGAGAGCCCAGAGAGTTTGAGGAGTTCAGAACTGCAGGAGTGAAGATGTTGACGGGAGCCAAAGAGTATGGCTTCCATCTTGTCCACATTCAACTGCAGAAAGTTTACACTCATCCAGGCCCTGATGTCTGCCAAACAAGCTGATAGAACATGGGTGGACCTAGAGTCGATGCTGGAAGAGGCAGAGTAGATTTGTGTGTCATCCACATACATGTGGAAATTTACACCATGTCTGCGATGACATTGCCCAGAGGGAGCATATAGATGAGGAAAAGAAGAGGTCCAAGGATGGAGCCCTGGGCTATGCCGCAGGTGACTGGGCGGGGGCGGGAGGAGAAACCATTTGCCGAGATGAAGTAGAGGCGGTTGGTTAAGTAGGACTTGAACCATGCTAATGCGGTCCCACTAAGGTGGTTGAGATAGGAGAAGCAGTGGAGGAGGATGGCGTGGTCGACTGTGTCGAATGCAGCAGAGAAATCCAGGAGGATGAGGAGGCAGAGGCAGCCATGGTCACAGATAGAGAGAATGGCGTTTGTGACTTTGACAAGCGCTGTCTCTGTGCTGTGGGCAGAGTGAAAACCAGACTGCAGGGGCTCGAGGAGGGAGTGGAGGGAGAGGTGTGACCAAAGTTGACCTGCAACAATGCGTTCCAGCACTTTGGCAAAGAGGGGTAGGTTGCAGATGGGATGGTACTATAAGAGATTAACGGGATTGAGGGTAGGTTTTTCAGGAGGGTATAATAACAGCGGATTTCAGGAGGAGTGGAACAGAGCCTCAGGAGAGAGACCGGTTGACTGTGTCGGCTAGCAGAGGGGAGAGGAAGTGGAGTTGAGTGTCCAGCAGCTGGAGGGATTCAAGGCAGCAGGTGATGAATTTCATGCGTGAGATTGTGGTTGAGAGAGGTGGGAGAATGGGGGCAAAGAAGTGTAAGGAGGGGTAGTGGTAGAAGTTGTGGAGGAGGGTGAAGGTGGTGGGAATGGTCTGGGTGGTGTGGAAGGCAACATGAGGGGAAGGACTATGCAGCCAAGTGGATGTTTTCAATCTTTGAAGTGAAGAAGTCTAGGATCTCTTCGCACTTGGCGTTTGATGTGAGGATAGAGGGATCTTGAAGAGGTGCATGGAGGAGATGATGGATGGTGGAAAGCAATTTCTTTGGATTGTTGTTTGCCTCCATGTTGACTTTGAAGTAAAAGTCAGTTGTGACCTGTGAAAGGGAGAGGTGGTAGGTGCGGAGGTACTCGAGCCACAGCCGGCGGCGAATCGTGAGGCTGGATTTCTGCCACGTGCGCTCGAGTGTCTGGGTTTGTGCTTTGAGTGAGCAGAGATGACTGTTGTACCAGTGGGAGTGGGTGGATTTAGAAACAACCATGGATTTCAGGGGAGCCCAGGGCTTTGGGACGTCCTCTCGACGTGAAAGGCGTTCTATAAGTTTAATTTGGTTGTTGTTGTTAAGCCAGGGAATTAAAGGTTGTGGAGAGACGGTTATTCAGCAGCTTGATGGCTACATCAGGATTGCTGCGGGTGGAGGACCAGAGGAGGTCTGAGGAAGAGAGGGCATTTGTGGGGGACTTAGGGGGAAGCTTTCTCCAGGGGCAGAAAAAGTGGTGGAGGGCTTCGAAGAGGGGAGGGGGATGCGGAAGGAGAGGGAGATGAGGAAATGGTCCAAAATGGCCTTGTCCGTGATAGACAGGTCAGAAATGTCAAGGCTATGTGTGATGACGAGGTCAAGGGGATAGTCACGGTTGTGGGTTGGTGCGTCGATGTGGATGATGAGGTTTAGGGATGGGAGGAGGGCAGTGAAATCTGAGGAGGTGGCGCAAGGGGAGTTTAGGCAGAGATTGAAATCACCCATTATGAGCAGGTCTTTAGTGTAGAGGGACAGGGATGAGAGGAGAGAGGAGATA